GAAAGGTTGGGTAGGAGGCTGATGTTGATGGGTGGCTTTGTTCTCATGGCAGGATGGGCTGTAGTCTTCACTGTGGCTCTTTCACTTGAGGTGTGTATTATTCAGTGTCGTATTACCCCTTTTTCCCTTTACCAACACACACATAGGCACGTGGAAGGTTATGTACAAGCTAATGTCTAACCTCAAAGTGGACACATAATGTCCAACTTTAACTTCATTGTCATCTAGAGTGTTCAGCTGAATGGACATCATCTTTGGTTAACTATGACTTTTACTTATGGTTTTACCTTTCACCCAATAGAATATGGTTACCTGGATGCCTTACCTGAGCATGACCTGCATCTTCACCTACATTCTCAGCTTTGGCATGGGGCCAGGTAAATTACAACACCCTAATGTTATTTCATACTGCGGTTTGACATTTATCAACACTGTGTTCCTTTTCTTCATACGGTAGCTGGAGTGACTGGAATCCTCCCAACAGAGATTTTTAACCAGACAACCCATCCTGCCGCCTACATGGCCGCTGGCTCTCTAATGTGGCTGAACCTCTTAATTATTGGGATGATCTTCCCTTTCCTTGTGGTGAGAACTTGAAAAAAGTCTTAAAGGGGTCATATGATGATATTTAAATTTTTCCTTTCTCTTTGGAGTGTTACAAGCTCTTGGTGCATAAAGAAGATCTGTAAAGTTGCAAAGACTAAAGGCTCAAATCCAAAGAGATATTCTTTATAAAAGTTAAGAGTCAACCACACCCTCCTAAAACGTCTCGTTCTAACACGCCCCCACATATCTACATCACTATGTGGGAAGATTTGCATAACGCCGCCCAAATGTTCACGCAAAGAAAGAAGGCGTAACTTTTATTCTCGCTGTAGTATTGTTGCCGCCGCCATGTCGTGAAGGAGCTGTGTGCTTCATTGTGAAAGCAAAACTACTTTGTTTGGTCTTCCAAAAGAGGACGATGTCTGCTTCGTCATGCCTGGAGCTGAGCTGTGCTTGTTGCTGAGGAAATACATCAACTTCGCGCTGTGGATCACCGGATCGGCTTTCACCATGGACGAAGCGGAGTCCCATACTAATACACTAATACTTGGTTTTTGGTTATTGTGTGGGTTAGCTATTAAAATTAGGGTGAAGTGAGCAAAAGTGGAACACGTTTTGGTAAACTGTTAAATACGAATAAATATATTCTACATACACTGTCAATGTTTTAAACAAATGGTTTCTTAAAGTATCCATTTTTATTCTACATGCCTTTTTCAGGTAAAATGGGATACATTTTCAGCAAGTTTGTGCTTAGGTAATACATTTGCTTAAGATGGGACATACACTTTGTTTTTATAGAAATTTTAAAATATAAAATTATTGCTTTATATCAATTATGAATGCATACTAGTAGATTGTGCCACTGATAGTGAATTCATTTATAATATATTTTCATCTTTGTAATTACCATAAATAATTAAAACACCAGAACTGCAAATTTAAGGAGGTTAAACACTTCAACAGAAGTACATACATTTAAAGTATTAAAACACTTCAACAGAAGTGCAAACATGTAAATAATTGTAACACTTCAACAGAAGTGCAATGTGCAATATGCGGTACACAATAACACAGTTTCCTCTGTGATGTGATTGCTTTTGTGTGTGCACGTTTGAATCCAACTGTGTACGTGTCTAACACACTTCCATATTTTTCCATGTTTTTGAAAGGAGCTTCAGGTTGTGTGATTCTCAGCATGGTTTCTTTTTTAAAACGTAACCAGTAGCATAATAGACTTTCTTTTTTATTTTAGAAAACCCTTTAATTCCATTAGCCTTTGCGTATTCAAACGCTTTAGTTTAATACGCCGGCCTATTTTATCTGTCATGTTAAGGCAAATTGTGACAGTCTAAAAACTTTTTTTTTTAATAAAACAGAAACTTTATATATATATATATATATAAAAAAAATTTTAATTCCATAAGCACTGGTTACACTGGGTCTAACCAAAGTTGATTATTGTTTTGGGTTGACTAGTAAGGTCTTGTTTTGGGTTGACAACTAGTATGGCCTCACACTGACTGTACCTTAGTCCTCTGGTGAACCTCCACCAAGTTGTATTGCGGGGCCAAGGGTGAGAGAACTTATAATTGTGTTAAAAGTGTTTCAGGTGTTCCTTTTGGCAATTTATTATTTTTTTTAGGATTATATCCAACTGAATTAAGTAAACTGCTTGGTTTAAATACATTTCCGTTTTTATAAAAAATTAAGGATTAATTTAAATGGTTTATTTATTCATCCATAGCACTTCAACACTGGTCCACACTGCTCAAGTTAAATTTCCAACATTTCAAATCTCAGTAAGTGTGACTTTCTACTTTTCTGCTGCCCGACTATTTAATACAAATGGAAACACAAAATAAGGAGTGCTGTACCGCATTATGCAATATCGCACATAAATAAAATGAGAATATGGTGTGTGGTTAGTTTATTTCAGAGACGTACGAGGCTGGAATTGTTCATTGAAAAAAATATGCATAAATAGATGTGGTTCATTAATGAAGCAAAAACCGCCACAGTCACTGATGCCTTAAACCTTGAATCTGTGCTTTATAAATGTATTATTTCAAAAGAAGAATGGATTTACCTCTTTTGGAATCTTTTAAAAATATTTTGTGCCTCTAGTCATTTTTACTTGAGTTTCTTTATAATGTTGACTATCAATCACACAAGGAGCAGGAAACAGTTTGGCTTTAGAACACTCATGGCAGAACTCATGTCTATGCAAAGATTCATGCATGCATGTGAAGGTATGCACAATATTAGCACTAATGAAAAGCATAATTTTGGCCTTCTTACCAAATCATCCTCACTTCACTAATCTTATGCATATATAATGTACATGTTATGATTGAATCAGTTTCACCAGTCAAGTATGAAATAATGAAAACCTACACTATTGTTTTCACAGAAGATTGCCAAAGTCACATTTCTAACCGCAAAATAACCAGAAATAAAATGTACAATGTGTTCTGAAGTGCTCATCACAAGAAAGAAAATTCTCAAATACAATTTTATTTTATACCCATCTCTGTGCCAAACAGACAGAGACACAAAAAACAGTGTACAAAAACAAACATCAATAGAAAAGTATCCTTATATCCAAATGTCCAAAAATTGATCAACGTTGTGACATAAATTGCAGAAAAACAACATTTTGTCAGAAAACAAAAAAAGTAGAATACCAAACATACAAATGTACACCTTTCTATGTGCATGTCTTTATACAAACATGTCAATGCAACTCTGTTTGTATATGGTTTTTATAAGATAGGTCCTTTAAATGACAGATTTTTCCTACCCATTGCTGTTCACAATCAGTACTGGGAAGGCACTTTGCAACATACAAATATACAAATACATAAGCAAGAAAACAAACAAACAAATGTCTCCAGTGATGTAATAAGCCAGAACACAATACAAGACAAATAACAACAATAAAAATAACAGACCAATTCCCTACAACTTAAAATTTATAAATAAATAAGGGCTGCAAATATTCAAATCGCATTTACTGGGCAGACAATGATTGTTACTATTAGAAGCATAAAATTGCAATCAATTAACAGATGTTATGAGCTGATATTAGCAATGATTAGTCTAAGTAAGTAAACTGCAGGTTTTCCAATGCTCAGATCAGTCCGCTTCAGATTTGCACATGAAAACATTAAGTCGAACAAGTACATATGGTAATAAAATAAAGATTTTTGTGTGTACATTATGTCATTGATAGCTTCCATCATGAGTGACCGCTTGCAACACCTCTACAACATTGTAAAAACGGCCATTCCAAATACATTTACGGTACACTATACTAATAACCTGCAGGGCAAAAGAAAAAGAAAAGAAACCAGCATTAACACTGCATTTAGAATAAGAGAACAGGGTAACACTAGACACACACTCAAATACTTGCATAATAATAAAGACACAACAAAATGATGGATTTGTCTGTATCAACTTAAAACAATTCTTTTAAAACTTACTCTTCCAAGAAAGAAAAAAAATCCATTCATTTAGCAAGGCCAAGGAAATTATCTATATACAAGGACCCCGTTTACATAAACTAATATAATTGGCCATACATATATACATATTTGTTTTATATATATATATATATGAATGTTACATGTCATGTATAGTGACAAGACTTTAAGTTATGCAGGAATGTACTGAACCACTTAGAAAAACTCTTGATATATTAAAAAAAAGATTACAAAGCCCTCTGTTTATATTACATTCTAGAGATAAAAGGACATTGGAGAGACTGCAGCATACATATGTGTACTCATACATACATGTCATCATTCTCACGGCTGCATGATTCAAGAAAATAGCACATCGCAACAAAACTCAATATATACCTTTTCATAAAGGAGAGTTGGACACCGGTATCAATAAGTTAATAAAATATATTCTTTGCTTCTTGCTATATCTTACAGTGAAACCTGAAATTGGTCCCTGTTGGACATTAAAAACTGACATACTTTTTGTGACCCAAAACAATCCGTCTCAAAACTACCAACAATAAACAAAGAAACACCACAAAAAATTACAGAGATAACGGCCATTATTTGGCCTGAAGTTTTCAAGGATTTAAATTCATTTAAATATTTGTCAAAGTAATTCCTACAGCAAAAGAGAAAAACATTTCAATGTTATGACTAGTTGCTGTAGGTTAAAGGTAATTGGACTACAACAGTTGCGCAAATGACTCAATGTTTTCTGATTGTGAAAACTATTGTTTTGTTTAGATTTTGTTAAAATGGTAAGGCTTGCTATGCTTCTTGGTGAGGCAAGTCTGGGCACAAATAAACTAGAGGTACATTCTAAAAAAGTTTGGGGCATCAGTTTGTCTTTTAAAGCAAACATCATCCTCAATCCACCATCTGGAAGCTGAGAGACACACGTGATACACATACATGTCAAAAGTAATATGATTTTTTTTTTCCAGGATAGACCAATGAAATTGAGGATTTGTCCAAAGTGGAATAAACAGATTAGCTGCTTCACACCAAGATGGCATCCATGATGGCAAAGTCAAAACATTAACAAACATTTCAATAGTAAGAAAAGCAAAAAAAAATAATAATAAAATAAGTCTACATATGGCGTCAAAGAGTATGAGACAACAGACTAAACTCGCAGTTATAAAACGTTTGGTTTTCCAAAAAGGTTATAAGAAATGTCTGTATCTCAAAGGGGTCATTTCTCCCCTAAACCAATTCCACTGCTGCCCATCTCGGAGTCCACTAGTGAGGAGGCAAAGGCTGACTGGACGATCTGAAAACCAAAGGATTCAAGAAGTGACATATTTTGTTGGGGGGAAAAGGGTGAGCCGAGATCACCGAGACCGGACCCGGCCGCAGCACGTTTCTTATGAACCCGGTGATGGTGCTTGTTGAGGTAAGACTTTGTGCGGAAGGTCTGGCCGCAATCGCCGCACGCAAACTTCTTTTCTTGGTCTATTTTTTGGATGTTTTTGGATCCCCCCGGCAAGGTCCCTGCATCCTCAGGTTGGCCATTGAAGATGAAAGATGTCACCTCCATTTCTTCTCCTTCAACTTTCTGTTCAGCTTTGAGGTCCGTTCCGTTGGAAAGGTCACCGAAAACTGCATCCGATCCATCAGAATCCTGATGGGGGCATTTCCCAGCATTCTCCTGCCCATCTGAGGTAAACACAGAGTGGGGAAGGGGATATCAGAGAAGGAGGGGGACAGAGAGATATATAGGAAGAGAGAAGGAGCCTCACATTTAGCAACATATCTAAAAACAAAATGATTTCCTTTATACCTGAACCCTCGTGACCACAACAACTACTTGTGTAAACCTGTTTCAATATAAAAACAGCTTGGCTATCACTGAACATTATATTGTGGCTTGTCTAATTTTTTGTGCTATTATACTTTGGTTAAGAAAGAGAAATAATGGAAACTGCATCCTACTGTGTCCAGCACCTAAAGGAAAAATAATTCAGATTCAGATTATTCAGTCCACTGAGTACCTCTAGGCTCTAGAGCAGTGCCACTTAACTTTAGTTTGGAAGCAAAAATGATTAATTCTTTTTGTTTTCAAGGTTTCATAATTTCGGTCATTATTTACTCACCCTCAAGTTGTTCCAAACCTGTATGAATTTCTTCCTTCCATGGAACACCATAGAAGATATTTTGAAGAACTCTGGGAACCAAACAACATTGGAGCCCATCGATTTATATTGTATGGACAAGAAAATATCTCAATTTCTTATTTTATGTTCCACAAAAGAAATAAAGTCAAACAGTTTTGGAACAACATGGAGGTGAGTAAATGAAGACAATTTTCATTTTTAAGCAAACTATCCCTTTAAAAATGTTGAGACTTCTTCGCCACAAAGTAGACACTTTTCCCATACCAATCAACAACCATGAAAAATTGAGTCCCAATTCTTTACTATTTTTTAGTGCTTTTTTCCACATGTATATTATTGAAATTTAGCCTGAACTAGCCAAGTAGGTCTCCTAGCTGCGACACTTCAGAGCATGAGACCAAAATATCATTTCTGATTGGCTAAGAAGCACCTTATTAGGGAAAAATGAGAACTTGTGCTACAACACTGTCATTAAAGAGTCACACATTGAATCTCTATAGCAACACATTGAGTACCAAGGGTCTAGAGTTCCAGGCTCTTTAACTCTATTCCACTATTTTGTACTCAGAATATAATTACATAATTATAATTTAAACTCCAGTTGGCTACAGGGCATTTTATGAACTAGAACTAGGATTAAATACAGTCCAGTTCTTCCAAAGTATAAACTACGAAAAACAAAAGAGGTCAGAAGTGGGTGCTGTTAAAGCAAACAGATGAAAATCAAGCAGCACTGAGAACCACCAGACAAAAGCATGAGCAAAATACTGACGAGCCAATTATGTAAGCACTTAATTCAGACCAATATTTTACTTATCTTGTAAAAGTCAACTGTGCTTAGCAGATATTTGCACCAGACTTATCGGTTACAGCATCCAGACATCCTCAGTTCTTTGGCTCACCACATTGCCACCCTCCAAACAGCCCGTACTGACCTGTAAGAGGTCCATGAAGAGGAAACCCTGGTGCTCCAGAAGAGCGGCACTCCCAGAAATAGGGAGTTGGACCTGGCTTGCCCAGAAGCAGCTCAGGCTGCAGGCCCAGGGCCGGAGGGACGGGCTGGGGTAGAACTGGCCCAGTTAGCCCCCGAAAAGACCCCTCTGTCTCGGGAAAGGTAACCAGGAGCCGGCGACTGGTGCAAAGGTCTACACCACCATTAACCGCCCCCAAGAGGTAGGAGATATGGATAGAGGAACAGACAGAGAGGCCAAGGGGGACAATTCGCAGTCAATACAGTCAGATGACCACTAGCTTCACATCAGTTCAGAAACCATAAAAAATTATGAAAATCGTTTGTTCAAAGCTAAGATAACTTTTAAATGAATGAATCTTTTTCTTTCATTACATGCCAAGCCAGCAGCTCAATGATACTGTTGGAGTGATACTGTAATGACAATTCTGTACTGATGTAAAGTTAATGCTGCCTTTCTGATGTATTTCTGCATTAAGTTTTGCCTATTAACCCACTTGAAACAAGAAAAACATTTCATTTGAATAATTCTTGGCGTCTCCATTACGAAGGAATCATGGAAAGATTCTAGAACACAGTCCTTTAGAAAAAAAAATGTTAATGCTGCCTTTCTGATGTATTTCTGCATTAAGTTTTGCCTATTAACCCACTTGAAACAAGAAAAACATTTCATTTGAATAATTCTTGGCGTCTCCATTACGAAGGAATCATGGAAAGATTCTAGAACACAGTCCTTTAGAAAAAAAAAATGCTGCCTCCATATTGTTTCCCATCATGTTCAATAAAGACATTCCCAATCACAAGCTGCTGGATTTTATGGCAATAATTGTTTGAAAAAGGTCCATTAAATCCACAGAAACAATGCACAGCGTGTACATGTGCACTTATGTGGACATGCATGAATGAATGAAGGATCAAAAACGCTTTCATTATGCCAGCACTTGATGGAGATGATAGTAAGCCACACAGAATGGACACATGGCCATGCTAAATTGGTCAGCAGCAATGTAAGTGACTAGCAGACAAAGCTGATTGATAGGGCTGCAACTATTATTTAACTCATGACTTAAATCAATTGTATCTCTAAATTCAGTTTATTTAAATCAAGACTACTGACGAAACCTGAAGTAATAGTTCACCCAAAAATGAAAATGTTTGTTCATTGGAACAGATCTGGAGAAACTTGCTCACCAATGGATCCTCTGCATTGAATGGGTGCCATCAGAATTAGAGCCCAAACAGCTAATGAAAACATCATAATAAGTAATCCAGACTAAGCATTATTATAGACTATGGACTTGTATTTTGGCCAGAAGTGATGGTTTAAAGTTAAAATGCCTTAATAATGGATTTGGCATTTTTACAAACACACAGTTTTTACTTCACTAGATGTTAACTGATGGACTGGAGTCGTGTGAATTACTTGTGGATTATTGAGATGCTTTTATCAGCTGCACTGCAGAGGATTCATTGGTGAGCAAGTGAAGTAATGCTGAAATTTCTCCAGATCTGTTCCAATGAACAATAAAACTCATCTGCATCTTCTTGGCCTAAGGGTGAATACATTTTCAGCAAATTTTCATTTTTGGGTGAACTATTCCTTTTAAAAATAAATAATTTTAGTCTCCTTTTAGTATTTTTCCTGTAAGTCAAATAATGTCTTTAAAAAGAAGCTTGAATATTTTGAATATCGTTCTTAGAATTTACATCTGGCAGCTATCCATTATAATCAAAAACCCTAAAGTTTACAAAATTACAACTCTACATATGCAATACTTCATCAGTCATACAAAAGTTCATTACAATTGCACATTTTGGTATCCGTCTTGCTCTCTAACTCTACTAGCTGAGCTAAAGAAACTCATCCCTTAACTTTCCTCTTAAAAAGTGAAACACAACCCATACTTTCAGCAACAAACATCCTTTCTCATCCACTGAGAGAAAAGTCCTGAAAGATGGTGTGATATAGAGCAGAACAGCCAAATTCTAAACAACATAACCTTGAGTCCCTGCACGCTATGCTGCAATAAATGAAAGATGCGCAGCGCTACAATCTGTGTTTGTGGGTGAGTTTTTATGCAAGCAGATGCAGCATCTGATTAGCAGCAGTGAAAAAGACAGCAAGCGAGTGAGCAACAATTTGACGCTGTGGGGAGAGGCTTGCTTGCCTTCCACTGCGCACTGGCATCCTGAGTGGTAGGGGGCGCCGTTGTGTGTCTGTGGTCTGTTGGTGCGTGGTTCAGGGAACTGATGTGCTGCAGAGGAAGGGAGCATGGACGAGCTGTGGTGCATTTTTACATGCACCTTTAAGTAGGATGCAGTAGAAAAACCTGAGACCATCGGAAGAACAAGTAGGAAAAACAAATAAAAACAATAAAACAGAACAATACTCTTAGTCTTATTAATCAGAAGATTACTCTATGGCTTTCAAAAAATATAAAGCATAAGCCACAAACCTTTTCAGTACTACTATTTAAAACTTCAGCCTTTTCCCCTTAGACAGTTTTCTGCATTAATAAGCCAAACAGTTTCTGTGAGCCTAAGCTAACTTACTAAGGATGGTGTCAGTGGCAATGAAAATGTGGATCATTAGCTGGGTATTTTGTAAGCACAAGTTCTGCTGTGTTTATAAGCAACGCCTTGATAAAATGAGTTATTTTCAATGCGTGTCTGACCAGTACCTTTGTTGCATATTCCACAGTAGTTATGAGGTCCTTCACTGTGTTTTTTCAAGTGGTCGGTCATGTAGGCAGCCCGGAGGAATTTCCCACACACTTGACATGGTATCTTATCTTCATGGCATGCTAGGTGTGACCTCAGGCGATCTCGTGTTGCGAAAGATGCGTTGCAAATCTGAGACATTTCAAGATATGGTTTACAAGCATTTTCCGAGAGATCATTTTTGAGAGTGTTATCAAAACAGAAAGTTGATTTAATGGAGGTGTTCACTCAAATATTTAAATTCCACTCTAGTACATATAATGAATGTGAACGAGGACCTGAGCAGTCGAGATCTAAAACAACAACAAAAAAAGCATCATTAAAGGATCATCCCATCCTGAAAGTGTTCAATATGACTAGTAATAACATGTTACATATTACAAATCTTTTGAAGCCAAATTATATTATAGCTTTGAGTGAAGAACCATCTTGTCACCATGAAAATCAAAATTTCACTTTTCTCAATGGAATATCGCAGTGTTTATTATAAATGATATATCTGTGCACATCACTTTTTTAATGCATGTACCCTAGTAATGGGCGCGTTCGAATCACCGCTTCACGAAGCTTCGAAACATTTGCTAATGTTTCGTTTCGAAGCGCGTATCAAACCGGCCAGGTAAGATTCTGGAATACTCACAGTCCTTTAGAAAAAAAAAATGCTGCCTCCATATTGTTTCCCATCATGTTCAATAAAGACATTCCCAATCACAAGCTGCTGGATTTTATGGCAATAATTGTTTGAAAAAGGTCCATTAAATCCACAGAAACAATGCACAGCGTGTACATGTGCACTTATGTGGACATGCATGAATGAATGAAGGATCAAAAACGCTTTCATTATGCCAGCACTTGATGGAGATGATAGTAAGCCACACAGAATGGACACATGGCCATGCTAAATTGGTCAGCAGCAATGTAAGTGACTAGCAGACAAAGCTGATTGATAGGGCTGCAACTATTATTTAACTCATGACTTAAATCAATTGTATCTCTAAATTCAGTTTATTTAAATCAAGACTACTGACGAAACCTGAAGTAATAGTTCACCCAAAAATGAAAATGTTTGTTCATTGGAACAGATCTGGAGAAACTTGCTCACCAATGGATCCTCTGCATTGAATGGGTGCCATCAGAATTAGAGCCCAAACAGCTAATGAAAACATCATAATAAGTAATCCAGACTAAGCATTATTATAGACTATGGACTTGTATTTTGGCCAGAAGTGATGGTTTAAAGTTAAAATGCCTTAATAATGGATTTGGCATTTTTACAAACACACAGTTTTTACTTCACTAGATGTTAACTGATGGACTGGAGTCGTGTGAATTACTTGTGGATTATTGAGATGCTTTTATCAGCTGCACTGCAGAGGATTCATTGGTGAGCAAGTGAAGTAATGCTGAAATTTCTCCAGATCTGTTCCAATGAACAATAAAACTCATCTGCATCTTCTTGGCCTAAGGGTGAATACATTTTCAGCAAATTTTCATTTTTGGGTGAACTATTCCTTTTAAAAATAAATAATTTTAGTCTCCTTTTAGTATTTTTCCTGTAAGTCAAATAATGTCTTTAAAAAGAAGCTTGAATATTTTGAATATCGTTCTTAGAATTTACATCTGGCAGCTATCCATTATAATCAAAAACCCTAAAGTTTACAAAATTACAACTCTACATATGCAATACTTCATCAGTCATACAAAAGTTCATTACAATTGCACATTTTGGTATCCGTCTTGCTCTCTAACTCTACTAGCTGAGCTAAAGAAACTCATCCCTTAACTTTCCTCTTAAAAAGTGAAACACAACCCATACTTTCAGCAACAAACATCCTTTCTCATCCACTGAGAGAAAAGTCCTGAAAGATGGTGTGATATAGAGCAGAACAGCCAAATTCTAAACAACATAACCTTGAGTCCCTGCACGCTATGCTGCAATAAATGAAAGATGCGCAGCGCTACAATCTGTGTTTGTGGGTGAGTTTTTATGCAAGCAGATGCAGCATCTGATTAGCAGCAGTGAAAAAGACAGCAAGCGAGTGAGCAACAATTTGACGCTGTGGGGAGAGGCTTGCTTGCCTTCCACTGCGCACTGGCATCCTGAGTGGTAGGGGGCGCCGTTGTGTGTCTGTGGTCTGTTGGTGCGTGGTTCAGGGAACTGATGTGCTGCAGAGGAAGGGAGCATGGACGAGCTGTGGTGCGTTTTTATGTGCACCTTTAAGTAGGATGCAGTAGAAAAACCTGAGACCATCGGAAGAACAAGTAGGAAAAACAAATAAAAACAATAAAACAAAAAGCAGAACAATACTCAGTCTTATTAATCAGAAGATTATTCTATGGCTTTGAAAAATATAAAGTACAAGCCACAAACCTTTTCAGTACTGCTGTTTAAAACTCAAGCCTTTTCCCCTTAGACGGTTTACTGCATTTATAAATAAGCCTAAACTAACTTATTAAGGATGGTGTCATTGGCAATAAAAACATGGATCATTAGCTGGGAATTTCATACAAATCCACAGCACAGGTTCTGCTATCTATATAAGCTTTTGAAACATTAGTTCATTTAAATGCATGTTTGACCAGTACCTTTGTTGCATATTCCACAGTAGTTATGAGGTCCTTCACTGTGTTTTTTCAAGTGGTCGGTCATGTAGGCAGCCCGGAGGAATTTCCCACACACTTGACATGGTATCTTATCTTCATGGCATGCTAGGTGTGACCTCAGGCGATCTCGTGTTGCGAAGGATGCGTTGCAAATCTGAGACATTTCAAGATATGGTTTAGAAGCATTTTCTGAGAGATCATTTTTTGGAGTGTTATCACAAACAGAAGGTTGATTTAATGGAGGAGCTCACTCAAATATTTAAATTTCAATCTTCTACATATAATGAATGTGAATGAGGACCTGGGCTGTCAAAACAACATCCAAAACAATAAAAAGGCATCATTAAAGGATCATCCCATCCTAAAAGTGGTCAATATGACTTGTGTGTTACATATTACAAATATTTTGGAGCCAAATTATATTACAGATTTGAGTGAAGAACCAACAAAAATTTAATGTCACCAATATTCTGTTGAAAAAATTGGAATTTTAAATTCATGCAGTGTTTATTATAAATGATTCATCTGTGCACATCACTTTTTTACATTCATGTAGCCTACCCTTGCAATTTTTAATCAAAAACATTAGCACAGTCAATGTTCAAAAGACAAAATCAAGTCCCACCCTCCATTTTTCTTGTTCGAGAAGTTGTTGTACTCATATACAGTGGGTACGGAAAGTATTCAGACCCCCTTAAATTTTTCACTCTTTGTTATATTGCAGCCATTTGCTAAAATCATTTAAGTAAATTTTTTTCCTCATTAATGTACACACAGCACCTGAAGAGCTCAGAGACAGAATTGTGGCAAGGCACAGATCTGGCCAAGGTTACAAAAAAAATTCTGCTGCACTTAAGGTTCCTAAGAGCACAGTGGCCTCCATAATCCTTAAATGGAAGACGTTTGGGACGACCAGAACCCTTCCTAGAGCTGGCCGTCCGGCCAAACTGAGCTATCAGGGGAGAAGTGCCTTGGTGAGAGAGGTAAAGAAGAACCCAAAGATCACTGTGGCTGAGCTCCAGAGATGCAGTCGGGAGATGGGAGAAAGTTGTAGAAAGTCAACCATCACTGCAGCCCTCCACCAGTCGGGGCTTTATGGCAGAGTGGCCCGACGGAAGCCTCTCCTCAGTGCAAGACACATGAAAAAACACCTGAAGGACTCCAAGATGGTGAGAAATAAGATTCTCTGGTCTGATGAGAACTTTTTGGCCTTAATTCTAAGCGGTATGTGTGGAGAAAACCAGGCACTGCTCATCACCTGTCCAATACAGACCCAACAGTGAAGCATGGTGGTGGCAGCATCATGCTGTGGGGGTGTTTTTCAGCTGCAGGGACAGGACAACTGGTTGCAATCGAGGGAAAGATGAATGCGGCCAAGTACAGGGATATCCTGGACAAAAACCTTCTCCAGAGTGCTCAGGACCTCAGACTGGGCCGAAGGTTTACCTTCCAACAAGACAATGACCCTAAGCACACAGCTAAAATAACGAAGGAGTGGCTTCACAACAACTCTGTGACTGTTCTTGAATGGCCCAGCCAGAGCCCTGACTTAAACCCAATTGAGCATCTCTGGAGAGACCTAAAAATGGCTGTCCACCAACGTTTACCATCCAACCTGACAGAACTGGAGAGGATCTGCAAGGAGGAATGGCAGAGGATCCCCAAATCCAGATGTGAAAAACTTGTTGCATCTTTCCCAAAAAGACTCTGTATTAGATCAAAAGGGTGCTTCTACTAAATACTGAGCAAAGGGTCTGAATACTTAGGACCATGTGATATTTCAGTTTTTCTTTTTTAATAAATCTGCAAAAATGTCAACAATTCTGTGTTTTTCTGTCAATATGGGGTGCTGTGTGTACCATAATGAGGAAAAAAAATAACTTAAATGATTTTAGCAAATGGCTGCAATATAACAAAGAGTGAAAAATTTAAGGGGGTCTGAATACTTTCCGTACCCACTGTATATGTCACAGTAGGGTAGAAAAGATAATTGCAAGTTTCATGCCGACTTTAAGTCATTATTTACTGATATTCATCCCCTGCAGCAAACTGCTAACCACTGTGACCACCAGTGCTTTTACACGCACTTTAAAAGTTGTATTTCAGTCTGTCTAAAATCGTGCCAGTCAGGTTTTTGCAAAGTTAAACTAACAGACTAACAGATAATTCAACTGTACTTTGGCTTTGTCTAGCATGTATACATGTTAATCAGACTACAGTTGGCCTGACTGTTGTGTGCATGCTCCGAAAAAGCAGATATGACACACAACAGCTATTTCACCCCGTAAACCCACTGTAGCTTGATAATAACTACAAGTTAAACTAACCTGATCAATCTGGTTTGTGAATGAGTCATTTGCTGCATCTTAATTCACCAACTTCAAGTAGAGTAGACAAGTTTTGGGAAATACTACCATCAGGTCATAACTGTGTCTTTAATGGACCACTCTGTCACAGTTACTTGCATCCTGTCACTGTAAAATGGCCTGTCAGTCTTAAAATGTCCTCATATGTACACACTGCACATTTCAGTTAATTTAATTTATGTATCAGGGTACCTTTGGAATACTAATTTCAACATACAACGATTTGGAACACACTAATTCTAAAATTGAATATTATTTAGGATGGATAGCATGAGAATGAGGACGCAGCAAGTGAGACCAAATTTGTGAACTGCAGCAACTGATTCATTAAAAAGATTTTAAAAAATGATTAATTAAATTCACTGAAAAAAATGTTCGCTCACGTGCCAAGATTTTAAGTGAAAAACAATTCAAATTCAGGGGGCGGTTGCATAGTCATCTAACATTTTCTGCAGGACTGGTCAAAATATTTTAAAGTCAGTTATATAAAAAGGTAGATTTGTCTAATTTGAATACAAAAATTAAGACTGATTATCGCTTGGATACCTGCTAGTTAGTCAAACTAGTTCCCTATCAAGTTCCCTCCTTTCAGAGAACCGAGGTTACGTACGTAACCGGAGACGTTCTTAAGACACGGTCTTAAGATATTGGCTATGTTTATGCAACTGGTCCCAAGTCTGTTTCTCACACAAAACTTCATAATTTGTATGGACCATGTTTATTGTACTTTATGGTGCTTTTTGTCATTTTGGAGTATGACAGTCCTCTTCAATATATGGAAAAGAGTAACTGGAATATGATTCCAGAAATTCACTTTTTGAATGAAAGTCATACACATTTGAAACAACATAAGTACATAATAATAATAATAAGAATAATAATAATTTATGCATTTAGCAGACGCTTTTATCCAAAGCGACTTACAGTGCATTCAGGCTATACATTTTTTACCAGTATGTGTAAGTACATAAAGTTTAGTATTTCTCACCTGACACTTGTGAGGTCTCTCTGTGGTGTGAACCTGTTTAATATGTCCATTCAGATGGTCTGGCCTACAAAAAAAATCACAATTTATGACACAAATACATAAACGAATGCTCTAATTGTAATGAATATATCTATAAATGACTGCACTCACCTGGAGAAACCTTTCCCGCAGCTTTGACAGACATACGGTTTACCCACCGAGCCGTCGTGAGACCGCACATGGTAAGACATCCTATCCTTGCGTTTGAAGCGCAGCCCGCACACCGGACACGCGTACGGTTTCTCGCCCGAATGTGACAGTTTGTGCCGGTTGAGGTGGTAGACGTCTCGGAAGACCTTCCCGCACAGATCACACGCGACGTGTCGTCTCGTCCTCTCGCGTTTACGGTTGTCCGCGGGCAGTCCGTTTTCCTGAAACCGCGCCTGGGGATGAGAGATCATCGTCGGGCCGTCCACAGCGACCAGCTCCGCTCTGGTGCTCACGCCGCCGGTGAACGTCCCGTGACTTACAGTGCATTCAGGCTATACATTTTTTACCAGTATGTGTAAGTACATAAAGTTTAGTATTTCTCACCTGACACTTGTGAGGTCTCTCTGTGGTGTGAACCTGTTTAATATGTCCATTCAGATGGTCTGGCCTACAAAAAAAATCACAATTTATGACACAAATACATAAACGAATGCTCTAATTGTAATGAATATATCTATAAATGACTGCACTCACCTGGAGAAACCTTTCCCGCAGCTTTGACAGACATACGGTTTACCCACCGAGCCGTCGTGAGACCGCACATGGTAAGACATCCTATCCTTGCGTTTGAAGCGCAGCCCGCACACCGGACACGCGTACGGTTTCTCGCCCGAATGTGACAGTTTGTGCCGGTTGAGGTGGTAGACGTCTCGGAAGACCTTCCCGCACAGATCACACGCGACGTGTCGTCTCGTTCTCTCGCGTTTACGGTTGTCCGCGGGCAGACCGTTTTCCTGAAACCTCGACTGGGGATGAGAGATCATCGTCGGGCCGTCCACAGCGACCAGCTCCGCTCCCGTGCTCCCCCCGCCGGTGAACGTCCCGTGCTGCGTCTCGTGGTTTCTCAACTGGACGTCGTCTGGAAACATCTTACCACAAACCCCGCACGAGAAAATGCCCTCGTTTTCGTTTTGAGCAGTGCTGTTATTGTAAGTGATCGGCTCTGCTGTGGGCTCTTTTTTGGGTCTCCCTCTGCCTCGCTTGGAGCCGTCGCTGTTGGGAAACTCCAACGGGGAAACCGCTAAGCGATCGCCCGCTGGTGCTCCGGGAGCGGCCGGCTGCGAACTGTTTCTCGGCTGCGTCGGATCGCCACTGTCACTGTCATTGTTGTCGGTAAACACAGGGCCGTTGGACACACTCCCGTTTGACATGTCCACGGGCAGAGGGTATGACAGCTGCTCCGCGGCCCTGAACAGGCTGTGCTCGCCTCCTCGGGAAGGAGGCACGAGGATCTGCACGTTGGATTGTTTGATGACCTCCTGACAGATCTCGATGACAGATCGCATGAGCAGAAACTTCGCCGCGGTCATGAGCTCCGGGAAGCACTCCAGGCGCACCACGATCTTAGAGGTGTACGCGAAGTCCAGGATGTCTCGGAAAACTTTGGGGCTGATCGTGTGCATCTCCAGCTCCTTGCCCTGGCCGTCGTCTTCCGTTTGACAGCTGAACACCGACTCAAAATACTCGCTGCACGCCGCCAACACTGCCTTGTGCGCGGGGAAGCTCTCCTCTCCGACGCGCAAGATAACATCACAAAACCTGCCTCCATCTTTTCTCTGGCTGTTGAGGTTGTGTAGCATCTCGGCGCTGTGTTTGCTCACCTGGTACGTGTAGGAGGAATTCCACGGCTGTTCTGTCCTCTCCATGCCGCCTTTATTCAACAACAGAGCCGAACGCATACGACGGAAGAGGTAGACAAAGGCAAACGAATGGCAAACACCCAGTAAACAGAAGCACTCAGCAGCGACCACCACTCCTCGCCTTTTTAGCATTTAACATGTTAGCAGGGGGAAAAATGGCAGCCCCCCAGCTTCCTGTGAACTTTGACCTTTGCTTAAAGGGAGGGGGTGTCGTTCGCGTTTAATATTTTCTGTTTTAACACAGTTTAATATATTACTTCAATCCAAAGATAACGCGCAGATACTAGTCATACACCGAAATTTAAGTTTCGTGTTCGTCTTCCTGGTTTGCAGCGTTATGATTTCACATCCTTGTTTTCCAGTGAGCCCCCACCCTCAAATGTACGCCAGACACTGAATACATGACAGCAGACTCTCTTTCTCTATACTGTAACATATTTAGAAAATATACGGTAAACGTGAACGAAATTAAAGTGAAGTCAATACTCTTGAAATGACACTGTAGTCTAGACCAGTAGTTCCCAACCTTTCTTTAGTCGCGGCACCCTTTGGAAATTTTAACAAATTTGTGGCACCCTACAAAATTAATTTTGTCACAATATTTGAATTTATTTTTGACAATCAGTAGGCTAATTTCTAATGAAAAGAACAATTTATATGACAGATTTTAATGTAGGCTTTTATTCATATGTAAACATCGTGAGATAGCTAGTTATAATGGTAATTAAACAAAGTTTTGCTCACTCAGTGTATTTTTGATTTTACAGCATTTTTTTTTACCAATTATCCAAATAATGTTTAATCCTACAAAGCTATTATTATCAGAGGACACGTGAGCATAACGGTTAGCAGATCAATGAATGAGAGGGCAGCATTACCAGAGTTGCCCATTTACCACACCTTGTTACAGCACAGTAGGGTTATTGCAAACAGAAACAATACTGTACTACATAGATGTTTCCTGTCCGCTCGATTTTTGAGTGGACTTTGCTGTTCCGATGAGCATGGATGGTATATGAGTGGAGCGACTGAGCGGAGCGCACTCATAGAGCGAGATAATACGCAGAGCGTCACACCACGTGAAAGTGAATCCTGAGCGGTGAACTAATTTTCAGCAGCTGGAATTTCAGTGCAGCTCTAATTATTGGCGACATCAGAAATGGATATTACATTTTTTTTTTTTTACATTTTAAAAATATAAAAAATATTTTTTTTTTACAGGAGTGCCGAGGCACCCCGGTTGGGAAACACTGGTTTAGACAGTCAGCCAGGCAGCTGCTCTCCTGAACTGCTAGTTTACTTTTCAATCACAAAGACACAAACAACAGAGAAAGGTAGCTGTTGTAGACTGTACACTGGCTTGCAGTATTGTTTGTAGTTGTGGTAATCAGATGTGCAAATACTTTAGGGAAATATAACTTTTTTTTTAAATCAAATATAATTACATAATGCAAATATTTTTTTGAATATTTTTTCCCCATTTACTCATCCTATTTTTATCATTGGTCTTGTCACTGTCATTGTTTCTGCTGTGGAAGCTTCGGTCACCAAAACAAATTCCTGGTATGTGTAAACATACCTGGCAATAAAGCTCTGATGCTGTCATATCACCCTGGTTTCACACCACAATATTTAGTTACCGTTTTTGAGCTCATTGTCTTTCTTGGGTGGCAAATCTAAATTTCTTCCTCGTTCAGTAAAACTGAAACTTTCCTACTCAATTGCAATCAATTTAGCCTCCATTTTGTGTTGTACTTTTATGTGGTTTGTCTGCTTTTGAGCTTTTTTTGTTTGTTTCCGTTCATGCATTATCCGGTGTGCTTGGGTTTGTAAAAAGCCTGATACAACAAAACAATATTGCGCAGAACAAAGTTCAGTAAAGGGAGTATGGCTTGGACATGCATGGATAACACTAGAACAGACTCCAATTTATGTACCAAGGACACCTGATACATGCAAAGCTATGAAATTCTACAACATGCCACAGCAGTTTTGGCATTTTGAAAATACACTTGGCACGAATAGACCAAGATGACGGTCTAGTTACAGTGGGATATAAATGAACTGTGGCACAACACTGCAATAAAACTACATCCATTCAAATGCAGAAGATTTGTTCCACAATCAACCATTTGGAAAGTCTGCTTTTTTACTTTAAGACCTTGACATCAACGAGTCAGAAATACAATTTTATGTGAATGATTTTTTTTTTATTTAATTTTTTCATATTTATTAACTATTTGTGCTTCTTAAATTAATAGCACATTACTTAATCATCAACCCCTGCCACCCTAAAACAAATGTGATTCAGAGCAGTGCTTCTCAGGTGACTAAGAAGACTGGCTGGAGGAAGGATGGGAGGGTTCTTTAAAAAAAAAAAAAAAAAAAAAAAAAAAAAAGGCACAACTAGCATTCACTTCTTGGGGTGGAAGAATGTCCCCTCTTGCAGAACAATCTGGCTTCAATATTCCAGCAAGTTTCAAGGGCATGTATCTCTGGATCAGGGATGCATTAAAACGCTACACACAAACATCTCCTTTCCAACAAATCAGCAATACTGCCCATTGCCGCCCGGATCAACCCTAGATGGGAAACAAGGAACATTGTGCGGACAGTGTGACTGGACAAAGAAAAAGCTACTTTCCAGTTTCTCAATAGCAGGATAACCTTCCCCACATGAAGACAGAAAAAGAAGAGAAAAAAAATAAAAAGTCCATTCTATGTACAAGGTGGAAAAAGACAAATCTATTCCTATAATCTGTACAAATTCAGGCCTATACATTATTTACTTTACTGCAAAAACCGAAAATTCAAAACAAAAACTGAGAAAATTTGTGACAAAAGCGGTAGGAAAGGTGTCTTTCCCTTTTTCCTCTTAACTTCAGGCCTTCTCAAAAAAAAAAAATAGACAGGGCTCTGACATCTGTACATAATGGTAGAAATCAAAGTTCATATCTCTCCAACTAGAGGGTAGTGGGGAAGGGATGTCTTGCTTCGCTCCTGCTGTCTGGTCAGAGGATGTCATCACTGGCGGAACTCGAGCTCATCAACACTGATTACTTTAGTAGACGGCATGGAAGGGAGGGGCTGTTGCAGCACGTCAGATCCAAACCACTTGGCCAGACCCAGAGGAGGACTGCCACCTCTTCGCTGGGAATGGTTTGTCCGATGGGGACCGTAGCTCTGTGACTGGGGTCCTCCTAACGGAGCCACTGGCAGATCTGTGGAGAAAAAAAATTAAAGGGGTCATATGATGTTGCTAAAAAGAAAATGTGTATTTGGTGTAATGAAATGTGTTTATGTGGTTTAAGGTTAAAAAAAAACACATTATTTTCCACATACTGTACATTGTTTCTCCTCTATGCCCCGCCTTTCTGAAACGCTTCGATTTTTTTCAAAGCTCATTGGTCTGAAAAGACCAATGACAAACGCTACTCTACACTGCTCAAAACTTGTTTGAATCGTCAGTGGCAAATATATTTTTATCTTTAAATATATAAAAAAAAAAAAACACGTACTTGCAATCTGAGAGTCAGAACAGCCGGCACTGTAGTCTACTCTCCCAGGATCAGAAAACAGTCCTACATAAAATGCGCTGGACACATCGGAATATTTTGGTTGAACTGTTCTGGAACACTGTTGTAAATACAACTTAACCACTGATTTCTAGTCGTGTCCGCTTTTGGAAGACCAAACTAAGTAGTTTCACTTTCACAACAAAACACAGCGTCACACACGGCGGGCGGGCTTGCGGCAACCACATGTGACGACCCCAGGCTGGACTCCGCTTCGCCCACGTTGAAAACCAATCCGGCGATCCACAGCGCGAAGTTGATGTATTTCCTCAGAGGCCAGCACGGATCAGCTCCAGGCATGACGAAGCAGATATCATCCTCTTTTGGAAGGCCAAACAAAGTAGTTTCACTTTCACAACGAGAAATACAGCGCCTTCACGACAAGGCGGCGGCAACAACAATACTACAGCGAGAATAAAAGTTACGCCGCCTTTCTTTGCGAGAACATTTGGGCGGCGTTACGCAAATCTTCCCACATCGTGACGTAGTGGGAACATGTGGGGGCTTGTTAGAACGAGCTGTTTTAGGTAGGCGTGGATGATTCTTAACTTTTATAAAGAATATCTCTTTGGATTTGAGACTTTAGTCTTTGCAACTTTACAGATCTTCTTTATGCACCAAGAGCTTGTAACACTCCAAAGAGAAAGGAAAAAAAATCGCATCATATGACCCCTTTAAAATTTTAAACCATAACAAATGACCCCTTTAAAATTTTAAACCATAACAAAAAAGATAAACAATCAGCATATTCATTTGCTCTCTTCTGTCTGGAAGGGAAGTTTCAGTAATAAACATGTTTAAAAGCTTGAATCTAGTAATAGACTGATAAATTGGCATTGAGATAATCGGAAATGGATCAGAACTCCACACGCTTTGATAACTCAAGTAAATAAAGTCTAATATCAGCAATTCTTTAAATTGCATTTATTATTAGATTAAAATCAGATCAGCCATTGGCCACCTAGACAGTACATAGCAGTAAACAGTGACCGTAAAGACAATGTTTCAAAAGATTTCCATTTCAAATACATTTTCAACTTTCTATTCAAAGAACTTATTTAAAATATTTTGTGATTTCCACAAAAACATTAGGCAGCACAACAGTTTAAGAATGCTAAGAAATGGTTGAGTACAAAATCAGCACAATTTCTGAAAGATCATGTGACTCTGCAAAGCTGAATTTTCAGCAGCCATCAGTTTATCACAGAAATAAAACTACATTTTTAAATTATAGTTATTCACAATATTTCTGTTTTTACTGCATTTTTGACCAAATAAATGAAGCAGTGGTGAGAATAAGACTTTTTAAAAACCATGTAAAAAAAATTATTACCAAGCCATCTTTTGAACAGTAGTGTTTATCACTCTAATGTAGTTATTTTAAAACACTGGTGCTGTACTTACTTGGTCTCTGCTGCTGTTGAAGCTGTTGCTGCATGACTGCTAACTGCATTTGTGTTCCTGCAGCTCTAGGGGTCATGAGTGGATGCCCTGCAGGACCAAGGGGATAAAGAGGCTGCCCTAAGAGGGCTGGGGGCAAACCCTGAAGCTGAGACAGGTCTACAGCCTGAGGGAACAAGCCTATTCATGCAGAGGAAAAACAAAAGAACTTCACTAA